TGTTTATTCTACAAACAAAGGGGGGGGGGGGGGTTTATAGTGTTCACGTTAATGAGTAGTATATAAATACGGATTCTATCTCACCCACCCTACCCACTCACCCAAACAAAATTCATCAGTTATAAACGTTTTATCATCATTTACCGCACTGTTTTAAAAGTTTTCATTGCTAATATAGCAATATTTGTTACCATGAATTTTTTTTAATTGATTACGACCGATGTGAGCGAGTTTGGGCGAGTTTCAGCAATGTGATTCAGCAGGGCCAATACGGAATACGGATAGTCGTTGGAGACTCGGCCAGCCGCGTCTACGTGCCTTCCCGTGTCATGTTCACTTCTGAACCAAACAACGGAAGTGGCAAGTACCCCCGGCTGCTGGAGGGCCTCCGCGAGGTTACGTCGTTCGATTCTGTTGTGGCGACAAATAGGCAATTATTTTTATTTTAATAAACCGTTTGTCTAATACAATTTTTCCAATCTCTGTAGTGAAACTACACTTATTTGTACAGTAGCCGAATATAATTTATAATTTTTATTTTTCAGCACGATAGTTTTATAATAGTAGGCAACATAAAAATGTGTTATGAAAGGCGGCTTTACGTAGTGTTAAAGACACGTTAAAATACAGTAATAAAGTGATAAAAATGGTCAATAAAAAAAGAAGAAGATAAACAATATGCAAAGTAGGTTAAAGTGATTGCCTGGAGGCAAAATCAATTAAATTTAATGGTTTGGGAACTCGTGAATGGGTTCTGAATCTATTGAGAGATCAAGTCTTGATCAATTCACGGCAATCTCTATATTCATCAAAAATAATATTATCATAATCAAATAGTTCATTAATATTAAGTTTAGGTAAAAATTCTATTTCTTTACTTTTATTTTCATTATTATTTAAAATTTAAATTTTATTATATTCATCTCTAATAATTTTTATTAATTCATTTTTATTTAATCTTTTAATTTCATTATAATTTAAAATATTTAATCTTGAGCTCAGCTCTCAATTGATCTCTAGATTTGTTTCTTAGGTTTTCCATTATTATTGTTGATAGCTTTTTACGCTGTTGGTTTCTTTGATTTATTAAGAAATTTTTTTTTAAATAAAAAAATTAAAGACTAAAAAATTTCTTCCACCTATAAAACTAGTCCTAATGGTACTTCCACTTTAATTTTAAATCCAGAAATGCATCACGTATTATGAATGATAGTATCACGTATAAAGTATGATACAAAACTAAATTAACCCCACAAGAAAAACATAATTCACGTATAAAAAAAGTATAAAACAAATTAAAAAAATGTAAAACAGTAAAAACAAAAAAATTATAAAAAAAAGCCTTTTGCTAGGCCTATCTGGCGTCGAATGTCTCCTGACATAGAAATGTCGGTCGGCCGGTGTCGGTCGATGTCGGACGTCGGAGTCACCAATATTATAAAAACTTGAAAAAAAATAAAAAATTCCAAAGAAGTATATAATATAGTAAAACCTCAAAAATTTTACGAACTTTTAGCTTGGTATATAACCTTTATATGTATCTATTGATTATATCAGTAATAAAAGCATATAATTAGTATATAAACGGTTATATCAGTAATAAAAATATCTTCGTAGTATATATGATTATATATTGATTATATCAGTAATAAAAACATTTTATTAAACATACTCGATAAAGTCATTGAACATATATTAATCTATCTCAGTTTAAAACTGATCTTTCTTCTGAAGCTTCTCCACTTTCTTAACATTTAAACTTTTGATTTGCTTTGAACGCTTCTCTATTGTCCGCTTTAATCTCAAGTTTTCTACTCCTTTATCCTTTTTCCTCTTGATCCTTAGCTTTTCAAACTCGATCTCATCTTTTAATTCATCATACTTATCCATGTTAGTGATAATACATAATTGTAGTATATGAAACAATTTTTACTTTTATGGTTTTGATAACAATATTTTTTAAGTACTATGACTATCAAGCACAGTCATTGAGGTGGGTGTCGTGGAAGGGATGTGGGATCGCACGTCTCTCTGAAATAAAACAAAAACGTGCGGTCGTATTTTTGTGGCTTTTCGTCACGTTGCGAAGTGTCAAAAAATAAAATAAAATATAAAAATGTTGTAAAATGACACGACAAATTACAATATATTACAATATTGCTTTATTTTTGTGTTCCAAAAGTTATTATTTTGAAATTTCCTTATCTTCGTCGTCGTTTGAAGCCAACGACCCTACAAATCTGTCTACTGAGACGAATTCATTTCAATCGTATCTTGAAAAAACTCAATTTTTTTCATTTTCACGACCGCTTTTTTCAAAAATTCTAAAAAATTTATGCAAAAAAATTCATTTTCCCATAAAGAAAATCTCGCAACATACGAAACGCCACTATCGATTGCTGCACGTCGGAGAGAGACGTGGATCGCCTGTCCACCACAAATCAATAAATCTCTAGGCCTTTGCCCAGGTGGATCGGACTCACCGTGAGGTTTTGGCCTAGTCTTAACCTTATGGACGAGAATAGGGAGTGGCCTGGCCGACTTCGCGCTACTCTGTCGTTATCAATCCGAGGTTAAGTTGTGGATCAGGGAGAGTGATCCGAGCAACTTACTCGAGGGTTTAGTCGAGAGGGTTGGCCTCGTGCGACTGTACTTTTACAATTATTTTTATCACAAGAAACGAGGACGTTAGCAGTCCCTCGTTTCTTAAACAACAACACGCCAAAGATTTTATACGATTCTGGTTTATTTGTTAGAAAGGTCTGCCTTATACAGCCAAAAGGAAGACATAAAAAAGGGGTAATAAAATGTGGGAAGGCGATCGGTCCATAATTTTGGCCTCATTATCGTGGGGTCGATCGGCGCATATTTGATTAATGGGTTTGTGAAAAGACAACAATGATAAAAGGTGAAGATACAGTAAACAGTGTTTCGTGAAAATCGATTCCGCGACATACGTTGTGTTTGAAACAGCTTTTGTCCGCAGATCAACTTCAAATGATTTTCTTTCATCCGTTCTGGGGTCCTCGTCCTGAGATTCGTCGTTGACATTCTGCAAATTGGTTTTGGATATACCATCTAACAGAAAAAATAAGTAAATTCGATAAAATGGCGCTACTTTATAATGTTTTGGTACTGTATGGTGTTAATTTTCTAAATTTTGTTCTTTTCGACTGTAGTTGAAGCTACACTTTAATTCAATTAGCCGAGATAGATTTTACTTTAGAATAATATTTATTTTTTGGTCTTCAACACGATATGTATTACAATAATAAGTACGATAGAGTATTTTAGCACGGTAGGTAGTACAATAGGATTAGTACAGTATTGAGACAACATGAAGAATGTGTTATAAAGAACGGCTTTATATACTGCAAGAGATACAATAAAATACAGTAAAAGGTGATTAAAGTGATCATAAAAACGTAAAAAGGGAAAGTAAACAATATGTAAATTAGGCGAAATAATTGCCTAGAGAGCAAAATCAATTAAATTTTATGATTTGGGAACTCGTGAATGCATTTTTTATTATTGAATCTATTGAGATATCAATTTTTTGATCAATTCACGACATTCCCAGCCATATAGGAAAGAAGAAAGAATAAAAGTAATATAACAAACAAAACTAGGCAAATGGTAAAAAAAGGAGAAGCCTTAATGGCGTTAAAAATTAAAAAAAGGGGGGGGGTTAGGTCACTAATAATAATATTCCTTTTTTTCTGACTCACTCTCTTTCTCACTCTAAAAAAGGTGCTTTCCGAAGGTTTTGTCAAAGCTACCAGACTTTCCTTTTTTTCTTCTCCGATTCGACCTTCTTTATTCTTGTCTCCACACCATCAACTTTGCCAACAACCATTTCTTTTTTGTCCATTCTACCATCATTAACACTTGCTTTCAAAGTGCCCGCTTTTTCCACAAGTTAACCGTCGTCTGAGGCTACAGGAGATGGTAGAGGCTGAAGTTTTTTTAATTCGCTCTGGAATCAATAATCTTCTTGTTCCCTTTTTTAATTTTTTCTAAATTTTTTTTAAAAAAAAACTAGTAATACGAAATCTGAGCAGGCGTCGTCTCAGGTGATCGATAGCTACTCGACCTTCTTTGGCTATGGCCATGTAATCACCATAATGACTCACGTATGTGTGATAGACGTCCGCCTCGTGCGGATCGGTGGCTATCAAGTCGTTCCATGGGTGATGCTAGGTTCAGCATTTTTCATGTTCTTACTATCCCAGAAATCTGTTATAAAAAACAAGAAATCCTATTTCAATTATCTCGAATTTAACGTTGACATTTTATTAAACATACACACGATAAAGTCATTGAATATATATTAAACTATCTCAGTGTCAAACTGGTCTTTCTTCTGAAGCTTCTCCACTTTCTTAACATTTAAACTTTTGAGTTGCTTTGAACGCTTCTCTATTGTCCGCTTTAATCTCAAGTTTTCCACTTCTTTATCCTTTTTTCTCTTGAACCTGCCCGGCCGTTCCTCATGTCTACGCCGCCGATGAGAGCCAATACAAACCTTCCCTCAAAGATGGTTGGCGCTCCATTTCTTGTTGAGTAGTATATTTATTGTAAAATGATTTTAAAAAAATATAAAAATTATATTTCCAATAAATTATTATACTAATGATAAAAATGTATTCGTAGTATATAAAATATATGCGTAGTATAAGAAAAACATTCGTAGTATATGAAACATATTCGTAGTATATAACTGATTATATTAATAAAAAGCATTGTAGTAAATGAAAAACTTTTATATTTATAATTTGGATAGAAATATTATTCATAAGTAATACAATTCAGGAATGACGATGAAAGTTTTTTTAATAAACAATATCATCGTCGATCTGAAGTTGACAACGGTGACGAAATGAAAGCTGCTGTCAAAGCAAATTCATATTCTAGAATTCGGGAGCTCATGATTCTGGAGCATCATCGGACGGTGAGGCTGGCTCGGCAGAGGCTGGTTCTCGTCCGGCAGAAGCTGGGCCTTATTGGGCAGAGGGGGGAGCTGGTTCAGCAGGGTAGACGTTCGAAGCAATACCTGAATAGAACACATGAAAAACTTTTGTAAACATTAGAAAAAAATTTTTACACTACAAATAAGAAGTATGTTTTTAAAAATTACCTAGCATTAAAGAAGCTGGGTTTGATTGGGCAGAAGCGGGAGCCAAACTGGACGCTTTCAAGTGTTCAATTTCTATTCGCAGGTCATCACAGATCTTTACTTCTCCTGCTAATAATAGCTCCATATATCTTATTTGGTTCAGCCGGTCTAAAGGTGTTCTTAGAGGAATCACGCAGCCGTCCACCAAAATTTCTATCTTCTTTGCCTTTCATGTACACTGAAACAATATTTGATAATATAAAATTTAAAAGATGCTAAACTTTTTAAAAACACAATTTTAAAAAATATTGAGATTTTTGGTTTTAAAGCAAAAACAACCTAAAAAAATATTAAAATTTTTATCCAAACAATTACCGTTCCCAAGTTCTCTTCGCAACTCTGCAGTCTTCTCTCGCTGCGCTAGAATTGCATTTTGCAATTCAGCGCACTCATTCTCAAAAGACGCTTTACCGTTCAGTTTATCCTGGCCGTACATTTTGAACAAAAATTTCAATAAATACATTATATACTGTAATTTCAGCAAGATGAATTGATCCAATAGAACATATAGAAACTACGTTTTGTGATGTTCCTTCCATAATTTCCGTACAAAGGTTTGAACAATGTATAAAAGAATTTTCATTTTTATTTTTATTTGCTGTATCACTGTCAATTTATACGGTAATCCTGTTTCTCTTTGAGATGTAAATATTTTATCAGCAAGATCAATTGCTTTAATCTTTTTATCATAATATTTATTTTTTACGTATTCACTATATTTTTTATTAAATTCCTTACGCTATGTATTTCTAAGATTACCATCAGGTTTAAAAAGATAAAGTCTTTGTTACCTCTTAAAGCTTACGTATACAGCGATATTTGCTCTTTTTTTATTTTTTTTGTTTAATGGTTCACTTATATTATTTAATGATGTGTAGCTAAACTACACTTTGATTTCAAAGTAATACAAATAGGTTATTACTTATAAATATTTATTTTTAGGTTCAGCACAATAGGATAATGTAAAGTACAGTATAGTACGGTAAAATAAAATACAATAAAACAACATAACACACCTTATACAATAGGCGGTGTCTTTAAATAAGGCTAAAAGACATTAAATACAGTATAAAAGCTATAAAATTGATGATAAGAGGTATATTACTAATAAATAATTCTGAATTATCTTCTAACATATTTTTAATAAAAGAAACAACTTTATTTTTATTATTTTTAGTAAGATATACATTCTCATCAAAGTTTGTATATACAGGGTCATTAGAGAAATTTGAAGGAAAGTAAAAGCTTCATACTCAAAAACTAGGAAGACTAAAAAGCTGATTCTTTTTTTATATGGTACCCAATAGTGGGCCATTTTGGAATTTTACTGTTTTGGTCGAGTTCGGCGGACGGTCGGCGGAGGATCGGCGGAGACGCAAAATGTGGCAGATTAGTTCTTCAAAATTTTCAAATTTCCTCGATTTTCTGTTTTGATGCAAGATAATAGCATAAATTTTTATAAAAAATTTATTTTTTCTCCGCGTCGGCGGAGACTGCATTTTTCTCGGCGAAGGCTATAACTCGGCTCAAACTCAATATTTTTTTTTCGGATAAAAACTAGCAGAATTGTGACATTAAAACGCATAAAATAGTACAAATTTTGAAAATTTTTATTATTTTTAAAAATTCGGCGGAGATTCAACTTTTCGGCGGAGACTATTACTCAGCCCAAAATTCATATTTTTTCTTTAAACAAAAAGATTTAGCTTTACATTGTTTGTTTCTACGCGTAGTTTAAATTTGTCATCGTTTGTTTTAAGTTTGACAATTCGGCGAAGGCACATGATTTCGGCGGAGATCATAACTCAGCTTAAAACTCATATTTTCTTCTCAAATAAAAAAAATTGAGTTCTTAGCTTTTTAATCAACTTAACTTTTAAATTTCTTCATTTTTACGCTAATAATGACAATTTGGCGGAGAGCAGTGTTATCGGCGGAGGCCATATCTCGGCCCAAACTTAATATTACCTCACCAAATAAAAAATGAATGTTTATACGCTGTCTTCAGAAGCTCAACATTTTTAGTAAATAAAAAAATATCTCCGCCGATCCTCCGCCGACCGTCCGCCGAACTCGACCAAAACAGTAAAATTCCAAAATGGCCCACTATTGGGTACCATATAAAAAAAGAATCAGCTTTTTAGTCTTCCTAGTTTTTGAGTATGAAGCTTTTACTTTCCTTCAAATTTCTCTAATGACCCTGTATATCGTAGATAGTTTGACAGAGTTCTGGGTTAGAAACCCGTTTAGCAAATAAGCTATATATAATCAAATATAAAACTAAATATAATAATAAAGGTTTATTAATATTTAAGGTTACAGCATCGATGATAAAAATATAAGATTAACTTATATAAAATTTTACCATAGAAATGAGAAAAAGTCATTAGCTTTTATAGTGTGGTAAAGCTATTTGAAATTGATAATTTAATATGGAATACAATTGTCGCAGCGGGTGGTAACTGGCATACCACGGTACGATACTAAGACCGGGAGGAAAAATGCCTATCTCCGATGGGAGTCGAACCCGTAACCTCTCGCTTACCGGGCGATTGCTCTACCAGTTGAGCTACAAAGGAGACATTATTCCTTCCGATCATAGAGGAGTGAATCCAGGGCCCTCTTGGCCCCCTCGCCTCCCCTCTACAAGGTGATTCACTCCGTCTCAATACTCTCGCTACGCTGAAGTCGCGACACTCCCCCCCCCGACCAAGAAGTGCCACTAGTCACCAGCACTGTCTCCAACCAGTGGTTTTTATTACGATGTTCTTTAACAACAAATTTTAAATTTTCAATAGTTTCTAGATCAGTAATAGGTAAATTTTCTACAAAGACGGGTGGGGCTCCATGACTTGTTGAGTAGTATATTTATTGTAAAATGATTTTAAAAAAAATAGAGATTACATTTCCAATAAATTATTATATATATTCGTGGTATATAAAATATAATCGTAGTATATGAAACATATTCGTAATATATAACTGATTAGCAGAGATTTTTAAAGTAATACACGAGATATAATTCGTTATTTAAAAAGATTACTGCATTTAGTAACATAAAAAGGGGGGGGGTTAATAATAATGTCCCCTAACCATATGGTACAGTAGGATTGTGGAGCCGTTGAGACTGATAGTTGAGAGCTTGGTCGTGACGGTGGTTGGAAGGCAGATCCCATAGATGCTTAGGGATGGCCCGGTTGGCCGACCAAGTCAAAGTAAAAATAAAAATATAGATTAAAATAATTTAATATAAAAATTTAATAAAAAATAAAAGAATATAAAATAATATAAAATAAAAATATAAAATAACAAAGAATAAAAGCATTATACCAAAAAAGAATTTTTTTTTAGATTAGATTAGGAATGTGACTTTTATTATACGTTTTTTAATAACTAATAATCTCATTAATTAAAGAAACAGTTTGATCAATTTTAATAGATAAATTATTACTATACAATAGTAATTTTTACATTCTTCCATATTTTGATTTAAAAATTTTATTAAATAATAATTACGTAAATTTAAGTAAATTTAATAAATTTAAATAAAATTTAATGTATTAAATATTAATACATAGATTTTTTTTATTATTATATTTTCCTTTTTTTCTTTATAAATTACTATGACGGATTATAGAAACAGTTTAAATCTACTTTCTCTATATTCCATAATTTTTTTTAATGTGTATATTACGTTGATCAATTTTAATAGATAACTTATTACGATTTTTTAATATATAAAAATTTATATAAAATTTATTCAATATTTCATTTTTGCTAATAGATAAATGTAGTCGAAGCTACACTTTAGTTCCAAAATAGGTTTTACAACAATATTTATTTTTAGTATTCAGCACGATAGGGTTTTTCAATAACAAGCACAATAGCATTTTTAGCACGGCAGTACAGTAAGATTAGTACGGTAAAATATATTATGACAACATAAAGAGGGCTATGAAGGTGCGGCCTTATATAGCGATAAAAAGCTATTAAAAGGGAATATATTAAGATACAAAAGTGATAAACAATATGTAAAATAGACTATCGAAAGTTCTCGAGGCAATTAAATCATGGTTTAATTGCGAGAAAGGCCAAAGTTATTTGAAATGAATACGAAATTAATTGCCTTAGGGAAGGCAGCGGTTTTGATCTCTCACAAACTGATTTAATTTTGTATCAAAACGTGTATTGTGTGTGACAATTCACGACAATAAACGATTCATAAAACTTAAACTCAAATACTTCAGCACCTTCAAATAATACATTTAAATTTAATAAAAGTAGAATTAAGTTTATATTTATGAACTAGGAGGAACATATAATAATCCTAACATTTAACATATATAAATTTATTAGCAACGTAAATATAAGGCACAAATGAGGGCGAGTGGTAACATCTACGAACGACCTCTTGATGGGTCGTCCGTACCAAACTGACCTGATCGGCCTTTTGCTGTTCTTTTTGATAGAACCCCGGGGCGGGCTTACCCCAACTGTAGTGTATTATGCGCTTTTTGGGACCAACGGGTTACGGTAGCGGAACAAGGGAAATCTTTTTCTACGGCTTCTCTCTGCGCGTCATCTAGCTGTTTCAAAATCTTTTCGTTTTCTGCCAGCTGGTCCTAGTACAATTTAAGAAATACCGCCGTATTCCTAACTTCGGTGTTGAGTAACTTTTTGTATCTCCTCAGGATCAGAGATTGCTCGTTCAAATGCGCTGACTGTCTTCTCTCTGAAACGCCCACCTTTGATAATCAAAACTGCGAAACTCACTAGGAGCCACCTGTTTTCTCAAAAGCGACTTTCTAAAAACAATGTCTCTATATAGTAAGAAAAATGTTGATTAACTCCTGGATCCGTAAAAACCTTGGTCCATATTTACTGATAGCGGGCTTAACCATACTAACAATTATGCTGTAACTATTAATGTATTCTTGTTTCGGGACTAATTCCGCGCCTGCTTATTACGATACGACTGAGCATGAAAATCGGGTTAAACCCCACGACTTGCAAGTCAAAACCTTAACCCAGACTTTTAACTCTTGTCGGAAACAGTGGCAGCATTGCCTCGGCTGGGGTAATTAGTTTGGCTGATCGGGCTGATCGGCTTGGCTGGTCGCATTGGCTGATTGAGTAACATTCCCGGAGGAAATGTTTTATTTAACCGTAAACTTTTCCCATACAATGTTTTGCCAATCTACGTCGCCTTCTATTGCGCATTGTCCGAACAGGTTCACCACCTGGAAGATGGCCCTGTTACGAACATATGGGGACTTTCGCAAGTTAATGGACCATTACGACCTGTCCCAATATAGGGTGTTTCGAGCTGTTACGAGTAGACATGGGGAACGGGCTCATTTCCTTTTGAGCCTGAGTGTTAGGCCCGACCTGAAGTATTAGAAGGGGCGACTTAGTTTTCCTAAAAGTTGGCCCGGCCCGAATTGTTTTGCAAGGCGTCGTTCTTTTCCGAACTTTTCGGGAAACAGCTTAATTTTCAGGCCGGCCCGACGTAAATTTTGCTCAGGCCCGGCCCGTTCCCCATGTCTAGTAAAGAGTTAGTCGTATTGAAAGCAATTGCTCCGACTAAGCCAAAAATATCGTTCGTAAATTATACTGTAATATATAAGTAATACACAGTAGTATATGTATTTAACAAGGTATTAATTCAATAATAATTAGTTCGCCAAATTATTATTAAAATTAAATTTACAAATATTGAAACAGTAAACAATAATACAAAATTATCACCCAAATACAACATTACTTTTTAAAAATATATTTAAAATAAAACATACAATAACAAAAAACCAGGTCCAGAGTCGATCAGAAAAAAATTCCACAGCTAGCTGTGAATCACTAGGGGTGAGAAAAGGGCCGTGCCCACTTTTTAAATTATTTATGGATCAAAGTACCTAATAAAATCAAAAAACATCAACGGAAATTGAAATAAAAAATTTTTAAAAATTTTAAAAAAAATTTTTAGCCCGGGCCCAATATTCAAGCCCAGTCCGCGGGCCGAGCCTAACTTTCAGGACCGGCCCGTTTCAATTTTAACTCAGGGCCGGCCCGGCCAGATCGTAGGGCCGGGCTATGCTGGGCCGGGCCTACATGGCCCGTTCTTCATCCCTAAATGTAAACCAAAAAAAATTTTCGACCCCCCTCCCCTCCAGTGTTTTGCCGGACCGGCGCGGTCCGGACGGATCCAAAAAAAATTTTTTCGAATTGGTCCAGAAATGTTTTTTTTATTTTAATAAAACGTTCTTAAAAATTGCAAATAAAAATTTTTTAGACTTCTTAAGCAAAAAAGAAAGCAGTTTTAGCGCTTATTGTTTTTTTTTCCATTTTTCATTTAATAAAAAAATTTTTTTTGCCCAGACCCAAAAATTTTGAATTTAAACCAGACCCAAAGATTTAAAATTTAGACCGCATTGAACCCGAAAATCACTGGACCAGACCACTGAAAAACGCTCCGGACCGGTCCGGGAAAACACTGCGTCCTCCCTCCCCCCCCCCTCCCAGAGAAAATCCGTAGCGGCCCTCCCCCTGGGGGCCTGGCCTGATTTTTTCGGAACGTCCTTTTCGAAACATGCTCCTGCCCGGCCCTTGATATCAATTCATTAAAATATAATAAAGAGGACAACTTTTGCCGTACGGCTTCTTCAGCTAAACCAATAAACAAAAGAAACCAGACAAACCGATCAGCCGAGCCGATCAGCCGCACCGATCAGCCGCACCGATCAGCCAGACTGAATAGCCTAACCGGCCAAATAAACAGATCAGCCTTTAATTCAATATTCAAAAAATTATTCTTTAGGAGTGCGAAACGAGCCGTGTAGGACCGGCTCGGACCGATCGTGGGCCTGAGCTACAGTTGAAACAAACCATTCCAAAAAAGTTTGACCCGGCCCCAGGGCTTGAAAAGTAGGCCCGAACACAATTTTTTTTAAATTAAAAAAAAAGTTTTAATTCCCGCTTATTTAAAAAAAAAGAAAGTGTACTACTTGTCCCGCTCTGGTTAACTTCAGAGTTATTAAATAGTAAGATCAATGTAAATATGTATAAGACTTTCAGAAAAGTACTAATTTGCGTTTTATAGTCAATTTCAAGAAAATCGTGAGCAAAAAGTTACAAGTTCTTTTAAATTTTCGCCAAATTGGCATTGTATTTCAAGCGTATAACTTTGTCATTTTTTGAATTTTAATCATTTTTTCTTTGATATACTAGTACAAAACCTTTAAATAAGGCTAAATTATAAAATTTGTAAGCCTAGTTTGTCTCAAAAGCCAAAAAAACTGTTTGAAACACAATGCCAAATTTGCTAAATTGACGGAAAATTCAAATAATTAAAATTTTAAAACTCAAAACGCAAGGTAAAAATTTTTATGAGTACTATTAGTAGTACTAATGGTACAATGAATTCATATAATTCTTAGCAGTTTCAGAGCGAGGCAGGCTGTGTACTTTCCTTGTAAGTACTAATAAAAAATTCCCATCCAAAATAAACAGTAATTTTTTAAAAAAATCAGTATAAAACAAAAAATCATAACAAAACCCACAAAAATGAATCATAAGCTTCCTTAAAAATCAAATGTGGTCTTCCTGGCGCCCATATCGTGCCTCATGTTTATTTAAATGCGCACTATTCTAAGGGTTTTTTTACGTGAATATCTAATGACATTCCGCAACGATAAATTTGGGAACGAAGGGTCAGGAAAATTAATAAATGTTTTTGCAATTTTCTTTGATCAAATCGAACGAAACATGGGTTTTACAAGAGTAAAGAAGTTTTAAAAATATTGTGAGTTTATTTTTTACAAAATTTCTTACAAATTTGAGTTTAAAAGGCGCAAAACGACTAATTTTAACAATATTGGCTCTATATTATTGGTATGTCATTTTTTCGATGTATATTTTTAAATTTTTACATAAAATTATAACTTTTTCATTTCAGGAACTACACTAACATCTGAACACTCAAGAAGCAGTGTTTTTAAATTACATGCGCAGAAACATGCAAGTTCATGCCGGTTGATCTTGCTGTACATGGTGTAGATAATATTAGCGAAAAACCATTTGAATCAAACTAATTATGGACATGGATAACAAAATATGGTTGCCAGAAAGACAGAGTAAGTGTTTTTGATTAAATTTATTTTGTTTTTAGGTTTATTTCTCTTATAATTCAATTAATGTGAGAGCTCTTATTATAACATGTACCTGGAAAAACTTGTGGTTTTGTTAAAATTTAGTTTAGGGATGTCTGATACTATAAATCATGTCTTTAAAATTCAGAACTTTGCGCATTTTTCAAAATTTTATTTTTTTTTCTATATTGTTCATGGTATAAGATGTTTCATTGCGTGTTTCAGCTCATATCGTTTGACGACTGCGCAAATAGGGCAAACTTTATATGTCATTTTAAACACTAGAAAATGCCCTACACGGTAACATAAAATGCGTGTCATAATGTGTTGTATTCGCAAAGTTATAACGTGTGAAAGATTTGGGGATCAAAATCAGGAATGTCCCTAGATTTTATTTTTCTTCTTTTTACAATTTTTTATTCAAATTTGCTAAAAAATAGTTTTGTTGTCATTTTATGCAAATTTTCGCCTTTTCATCATCATTCATTTTCCTAATTTTCGGTCATTTGGATCTCGAGCTAGTGGTGAGGAATGGCGACTGTTACCCAAAAGGTGTATTTCGATATTACGATTGGTGGAAAGAAGGCCGGTCGCATTGTGATTGGACTTTTTGGCAATGACGTGCCGAAAACCGCGAAGAACTTTGTCGAGTTGGCGAAAGGAACCAAAGGATTTGGCTACAAGGGCTCCAAGTTTCATCGTGTAATCAAGGATTTCATGATTCAGGGTGAGGAGTTTGGTTGGTTTTTAGTTTTTAGGTATTAGTTTGGAGTTTTTATGGTCGTTATATATGCTTCTAGGCAATATTTCTAAGGTATGGAATTATTTAGAACAAAATTTTTTGGTTTTGAAAATTTGTTACCTAAAATTTTTTTGGCTAGAAGAAATTGTTTTATACCTAAAATGATATGGGAAAAACATTTTTAAGACAGATTTAAACATTCTACGACTAGTTTTAGTTATTATTTATCAGCTTGTTATCCAAAAAATCTTTCAGGTCAAAACTTATTATATTCACCTTGTTTCAGGCGGCGATTTCACAAAGGGCGACGGAACCGGTGGCAAATCCATCTATGGAGAATGTTTTGACGACGAAAACTTTAAGCTGACCCATACTGGACCAGGAGTCTTGTCCATGGCCAATTGTGGCAAAGATACCAATGGGTCCCAGTTCTTCTTGACCACCATCAAAACCGCGTGGTTGGATGGTAAACATGTGGTCTTTGGCAAGGTTGTTGAAGGTAAATGTTTTTTTTTGTTTTATATTTGTTTGAAATTTAAAAATTTTATTTTTAAAATATTTTTTGAACTTTTGAGGTCAATTTTAATATTGTTATAGGTATGGACATTGTTACCAAGATCGAGAACACCAAAACCGGCGAAGCCGACCGACCAGTCGAGGATGTTGTTATTGCCGATTGCGGAGAATTGAAATAGATCATATTTTAGTTTATTAGTTGAGGAAATAAATATATTTATTAGAATGAAATAGGATTTTCATGTGATAATCTTGTCGTTGTGCTAATTGTTACCTAAATTGATAGTGTTTGTCATGATATAACTTACTTTTTAATGTTTTGTTACCTAAAATTGATAATAATGCGTAAAATGTTTTTAAAAAACGAAAATGGCAAGAAATTTCTTTACAAAACAGAAAATTGCAAGAACTTTCCTTACAAGTTGTAGTTTCTATTCTTTTTGCAACATTTAATTCTCTTTTTACATTCCTTTACATTTTTATGTTATAGTACTTCCATTGAGCACCTGGGCACGTATGCAAGGCATTTTAATGGCTGAATTCGGTTCCTTCTCCTTAAACACGTAATCGAAGGGAGTGTACCGGAAGGAAACATGACAAAAAGGTTGGTTTTGAACAAGTCGAGTACGAAAACCAAAAGTTCAGGATTGCCTTGAGGGCATAATTTCGAGATGTTGAGTGTTTATTTTGGCCGAAAAACGAGGCCCAAGAAGACGTTTGTCTCAAAAGTTTTGTCATTGAAATGTAATCTAATCGTTGATGCCGAATTACATTTGTTTCCCTGTTTTTGTTTAAAGTAGCATTGTTAGGGGTAAAGAAATATAAAGTGGGGGTAGGATGGGGTAGAATAGGGAGGATAGGGTGGTGAAGGTTGGGTAGTTTAGAGTTAATCAGGACCTTGCCGGTTTGGTCTGAGCAAAACAAAGAAGGGTATTGAATGATAAGGTAAGGTAGGGTATCAGAGAAGGTACGAAGGGTTGGGTAGTGCAGTGTTAGTCAGGGCAGCGCAAGGCAGGGCTGGGTATTCTGGTTTGATCTGATCTGGCCTGCTCTGTTCTGGATTGTGTAGGGCAGCGTAATATATTGCTGGTTAGGGGTGGACCATGGTTTTAGTTTTGTAAAGAAAGTTGTTGCTATTTTTTTGTATAGAAAGTTCTTGCTATTTTTTGTTTTGTAAAGAAAGTTCTTGCTATTTTATTGCTTTGTAAAGAAAGTTCTTGCTATTTCTTGTTTTTTAAAGAAAGTTCTTGCCATTTTTTACCTTTGAAAGAACGTTCTTGCCATTTCTTGTTCAGAAAAGAAAGTGCTTGCTGTTTTTATCGTTTTCTAAAGAAAGTTCTTGCCATTTTGTGTTTTGTAAAGAAATTTATTGCTACTTTATGTTTTGTAAAGGAAGTTCTTGCTATTTATGGCTCTGTAAAGAAAGTTCTTGCCATTTTTGAAATCACTTACCAAACCAAAGTCCAACCTATTTATAACCCTTTTATTACTACGTTTGGCCATCAATAACTTGGCACATGATTCGCCACTAAACATGCGTTGGCGCGACAAAATGATAAATGAGGTTTGGGTTCTATCGGGCCCTCAGGGGGCCCGCAGCCTCTACTCTGCCAAGATCTTCGGGATTCGCGAGCTTTGCGTCATATTTGTTTATGACCAATTGTTTTGTTCAAAATTTGAGGCTACACGATTTTGAAGGGTTTTTGAAATTTTAATTTTGAAATTTTTTGAATTTTGTAAAAAATTTTAAAATTTACTACTGTAAGTAGATCAAAAAAAAAGGTTAGAGGGAGTGAAAGGAATAGTTTTTGTTTGAGAAGAAACTGTGTAAGCTATGACTAATGTAAGGCTGGGGCTAAGGCCAAAGCTTAGGATAAGGTCAAAGCTAAATCTAAGGTTAAGGCTAAGACTAAGGCTAAAGCTGGGTTTAGAACTAGGGCTAAGACTCAGGATAATTCGAAAGCTAAAGCTAGGGCTAAGGCTAAGGTTATGACTAAGCTGAGGCCAAGACAAGAGCCAAAGTCAAAGGTAAAGCTAAGATTAGGGCTAACCATAAAGCTGAGACGAAGATTAAAAGTAAAGGGCCGGTAAGCCTACGGCTGAGGCTAAGGCAAGGCTTTAACAATATTACTTAAAAATAATTTTTTTTTGTATTTTGAAATTTTAACGATATTTGGTAGGTATTAAGTCATATGCCTATCACAAGGCTGTATGAAAAACAAAATTACTAGGTTCACCACAAACCGTTATAAAAAAGGTATTTTTGCCGCTTTCATATGAGTTTTGGTAAAATATAATTTGAGCTGTAAAGCTACTCGTGATTGTAAACATGATTTAACAAAAATATTTAAAAAGGAAATCATAGGCTACGCTCAATTTTATTTTTTTGAAGAAGGAGTTTTTAGCTCTGGGTTTCAGACCGGGCCAAGTCATTTTGGACCGTCTTTGAACTGGTGTAGCTTTGAGTTAAAGCCTGGCTTAAAATCTTGGTTTAGGCGTAAAGTGTGAACCCTAAACAATCACTTTCTGGTTTAATATGTTATAAAGTTTATGTTTGCCATTTTGTTTACAATAAAAACTAAACATAAAATAAATTCCTCAATCTTTGTTCTAACATCTCACATACTATATATTTTACTACATATGTCATTTTGTTTAAAAGAATGTATTTTTTCCTTCTTGTATGACATACTTTATATTATACATGACAAAAAAACTTTTGAAAAAAGTGTCTAAAAGCCAGACAGAAAGCAAAAGTAATCAAGCCTAGTCCATAAAAGTTTTTTTGGGCTACAGTAATATAATTTTTTTGAAATTTTTTACATTTATAGGCTTGTAGTGGCCTGATACTATAGGTGGGGCAGGGTAGAGTAGTATAGGGTAGGGTATAGTAGGGTGTGGGTAGGGAGTACTCTTAAATCTTGGTCGTTCGATCAAAAACTTTTGGAGTTTTACATTTTCTGTCAAATTCCCCCAGGGGATTGCGGAGGACAAAATGAAAAAGGAAACGGAGAAGGGAACACGTCCTTCTGCTCTTCACTTTATGATTCAGTCTAGTCTAGATTTATCTTGTGTGGGCACCAAGAATGTGACACGAAAGTGTGTTGTCGCGGTTGATTAGCTGAAATTGTAAAAAAGATAGGGGTGGAGCAGGGAGAAGAAGAGGACAAAGAACAGTGCTGTAGTGGAGGTATGAGTTTAAGCTCGAAATTAAAATTTGGGCAAGGTTGGGTAAAGGTTATTCTAACGACAAAACTACGGCTCGGGATAGAGATAGATATAGAGCTAGGGCTAGGACTAAGGCTAGGGCTAGGGCTAGGGCCAGGGCTAGGGCTAAGGCTAAGGCTAAATCTAAGGCTAGGGTTAGGGCCAACAAATTACAGCAAACTACGGCGAGGATCGGTGGGCCTAAGGTCAGTGCTTGAACTAAAGTAGGGCTAGGACTAGAGTTAGTGCTAAGGTTAAGACTAAGACTAATTATAAGGCTAATGGCTAGGGATAAGGATAAGGCTAGCACCAAGCCTAAGACTAGTGCTAAGACTAGAGCTAAGTCTATAAGGATTGGGTCAGTCTAGCTAAAGCAGGGCAGTAATATAAAGTATAAACTTAACTCCAAACTCTATATATAAATTTACATTTCGCATAATAATAGTAAATCCGTCGTCAGTAAGGCCGTTTGTTCGGGTCTCTCCCCTTCATAACAAACGTGGCCATTCAAGGATCATCGAATTCGAACTCTTTCCTTCCTTATTTTCTCAACAATGCCCACGAATTATTGTTTGATTCAGTGCTCTCTCTGCACGAATTCCCCCCTCTTTTTGTTGTTATAAAAATTTATTATATTTATGAATCTTGGCGTCGGAAAAGGTGTCAAATTGTAGGGGTTGGACTGAAGATTTTGGTCTTTGAAGCTTTTTCTAATTTTGTAATGGATTACTGTAAATTGATAAGAGGGTGGGCAGTGCCGGGCGGGGACTTTTGGCCTTAAGCCCATGCTCAGGCTAGGCCTAAAGCTAAGGCTAAGACTAAGACTAATGATAGGGCTATGGCCAGGCTAAGGTTAAACCTAAGGATATAGCAGGCTAAATCTAAGGCCAGGACTAATCTTTAGGTTAAGCGTATGGCTCTGTAACCCTAAAAGGTTGTCTACGCCTTATTCCACCACAAGTGACTATGTAATGACATAATGACGTTAACTGTCATTGTCCAAAAGTTTCTTTTGCTATAGTTTCCATGGTAAGGTGTAACCTTTTCTGTAACTGGGTTTAAATTTGTCTTCTGGAATCTTTTTGTCGCAAAACGTCTTAAGTGTTGAAGAATGTTCAATTTTGCGACATATTGACAAGCTTTTTTTGAACAAATTATATGTTACTCTTTGAAAGATAATCTTCGACATGAATGTATGATAGGGCTAGGGTTACAAGCATATTCGACAGTAGGAACAGGTATATAGAAGAGAGAACCTCAACTTGCCTGCTTTGTATTGTGAAAACCAAGCGTATCTATTAATAATAGTAGGGTTAGAATTACTTTAATAGTTGTAATTAGTAGATGTAATGTTCTATATAACTATTGTGGTATGTAGTAATTTATTTCAAGTAATTTTTTTCTTTACGGTTTTACTTTTTGACTGTTTGCTTTAATATAATATGGTATTTATCCATGGGAATCGAACTAATTTTAAGGGTTATAAATAATGTCGTTGGTAAAGGGTGTTTTGGTTTGAATAGTTATAAAGCATTGGTACTATTATTTGCCTTTAGGTGCTAGGATAAGTGCTAGGGCAAGGCCCAGGTCTTGAGCTAGGGTTTGAGCTTGAACGAAGACTAGGGTCAGGGCTTGAGTTAAGGCTTGAGCTAGATCTTGAGCTAGACTTAGGACTAGAGGCAGGGCTTGAGCTAGGGCTAGTGCAAGTACTAGGGTTAGAGCTCAGACAAGGGTTGGAGCTACGGCTCATGCTAAAGCTAACAATAAGGCTGGTTAGGGCTAGGGTTTTTACTGGTCTGAAAATTTACAAAATGTTGGTTAAAAAGAACGTAGAAACGAGTTGTCAGCAAGCTAGTAGCTGGTAATTTGTCTACCACAGAGAAATTTTTGTAGGAAGTTGTGTTATAGATAGTGTAATGTATATTTTCTTTTCTACCACAACATCAAAATACTAAATAAGTAATATCATCAA